GGGGCCTGTCCCGCCGGACACCGCCCGCCAGCGCCGTTTCCCGGTGCGCTTGGCGGGCCCGCAGCCGGGACCGGTCCCGGCCGCCCCTCCAGGCGCGCGGAAAGGCAGTTCCGCCGGCGGAGCTGAGCCCGTGCAGCCTGGGGCTCCCTGCGCGCGCGTGTCCGTGCCGGTGTTCGCGTGTCGGGGGCGCCGAGGCGAGGGGTGGGTTCGCTTGAGCTTGCGGTCGGATTGACTTTGCTTGTTTTGTTACCATGTTTCTTTGGTGCCTGATCTCAAACACAAAGTGGCCGCGGAGATTCCGGCGCCTTTCACCGAAGGGTGAAACCTGAACGTTTCTTTTTGTAGGAAGGAAAGTTAAGTATCGATACTGTTTTAATTAACTCGGTTGACTGGTTACATGGATATAGTTTGTTGTCTGGCCCCAAAAGAACTTTCATCTCGTTCCACTTTCTTGTCACAATTTACGTAACATTTTCAAAATTAAAAAGAAATCTCTAATAATAAGAAGAGATTATTATCTCTAAGTATTATATCTATAATTTTAGAGGGACCTGCATCTTACATCTTCCTGGTTTCTAAATTTACCTCGTTTGCTGTTGAATCAGATAAGCAGTTGTTTCTCTGTTCCTGTGTAAGAATAGAGGACATATTCAGAATTCCACATACCTTGTGCAGAAGGTGAAGAGACAAATAATAAGAAACAAATTTGCAAATGCTATATTGTATAAGATTATGAATAATATCTCAGATCTATTTTTTTTTTTCAAAAGAAGGAATAAGCAGCGAATGTGGAAACATGTCACAGTTAAAACTGCATGTCTGCATTTTTACTAATTCGATGCCTTTTATTTTGTAGGAATGGAGGGGAAAAAAATGATTTCTGCAACAGACACACAGTACTCCAGTGTGCTCCTTCAGTCTCTGAATGAACAACGTGGTCATGGACTTTTTTGTGATGTTACTGTCATCGTGGAGGACAGGAAATTTCGAGCTCACAGAAACATCCTTTCAGCCTCAAGCACCTATTTTCACCAGCTTTTCTCAGTGGCTGGTCAAGTGGTTGAACTGAGCTTTGTAAGAGCAGAAATTTTTGCAGAAATCCTTAACTATATTTATAGTTCCAAAATAATCAGCATTCGATCCGATTTACTTGATGAACTGATTAAATCTGGGCAACAGCTGGGTGTTAAATTCATAGCTGATCTGGGCATACCTCCCTTGGAAGGCAAAACCGTGCCAGGTGAGGTCAAAGATGGTGCTTCAGAAGCTTCAACTTGTAGCCCAGGTCAAAAGGATGCTGAGACACAAGTACCTGTGGGAAGGCCAGAGGGTCAGGAGGTCACGGATGGGATGCCAGTTATAACACAGTCCTTCTCCTTACATGGCATAGAGTATGAGACGACAAAAATCACCGTGAATGATTCAGATGATGAGGATGATGATGTCGTTTTCTGCTCAGAGATTGTTCCTCCAAAAGAATGTACTAAAGATACAAATGCTGCAGCCCAGAACCAGCCTTGCCCAACTCCAGCTGGAGGTTCAGACCAAAAATCATGTGGCAGTGGTGGCTCTCCCCATTTGACCAGCACCCCAGCAGCTCAAAAACTCACTTTATCTGCTGGTCAGCTAAGCCCAAACCAAACACAATCAAGTGCTGCATCACTTGTCTCTGCAGCTCCACAGCATTTGACTCCTAATATCATTGTGCTAAATAAGCCTCAGCTGAACATGTCGCTCAGTGCCAGCTCCTCGCACCAAACACATGTGCCCCCTACAATTAATTTACTCGAGGACAACCAGCCACCAACTCATAATGGCTCTGTAGCCGAAGTGGAGACAACTGCTGTTGATGATGAAGAGGTTGTTGAAGATGATGTCGATATCATTAGCTCCTCTAGTCCTGGTTCAGTCAGCAGTAGCTCGTTGGCTCAGCCACCTTCAATACCCAACAAGGCAGCTGAAGGAACAGGTGTACAGAAAAAACAGGTGGTTACCCTTTCACAAGAGCCGTTTTCTAAACCAGGAGATTTTAAAATAAAAATCTCGGATGTCCTTAGTGGAAACAACAAGGAATTTGGTTCAGGTGTAGCATCTGCAGAAGGGCAGAAAATCATCACACTGGATACAGCAACTGAAATAGAAGGCCTGTCCACAGGCTGCAAGGTTTATGCAAATATTGGTGAGGATACCTATGACGTAGTCATTCCTGTAAAGGGTGATTCTGCAGAAAGTGAACCCAAGCCTGATGAAACCCCCAAAACATCTGGTGGTGATTCTCCCAGCAGGAAACGCATGAAAGTAAAGCACGATGACCATTACGAGCTCATAGTGGATGGAAGAGTCTACTACATCTGCATCGTGTGCAAGAGATCATACGCGTGCCTGACGAGTTTGCGGAGACATTTCAACGTTCACTCCTGGGAGAAGAAGTACCCGTGCCGGTACTGTGACAAGGTCTTCCCTCTGGCAGAGTACCGCACCAAGCACGAAATCTACCACACCGGGGAGCGGAGGTACCAGTGCTTGACGTGTGGCAAGTCTTTCATCAACTACCAAATCATGGCCTCCCACATCAGATCAGTCCATAGCCAAGACCCTTCCGGAGACACCAAGCTCTACCGGCTGCACCCCTGCAGGTCCCTGCAGATCAGACAATACGCCTACATCACCGATCGCTCCAGCAGCATCCCGGGAATGAACCAGGGGGGAATTGTCTATCGTGTTGGCGCAGGGAAGGATGGCACTGAGGGAACAACATCTAACCCTCCAGCCAAACAAATCACCTGGGATGACATTTTCATTCCACAGGGAAACGAGGCAATTTTTAAACAAAATCCATCGGAGGCAAGTAATGAATTTGAGTTTGTGATACCAGAATCTTACTGAAATGCACTGAATTCTGGGAGAAGGATTTGGTGCAGAAATACTGCAGCTGGTTTAAATGAACCATTACATTTGCTGTCAGATCAACTGTTATAGTGAAAACAAGTTAACTTGTTCTACCAAGTCATCAAATGGTGGCACTTAGAGGGATCGTTAGTAGCTGCAAGTGATTTGTGGAAGTGGTTAATGTGAAAGTTTACTTGAATAGAGAATAAGACATTTCCAAGGAGCAGGCAGTGTTTTCCTTTAATCTCGATCAAAACATGGGGATTTGTAGCTTGGAAAGGTACAATTTCTGCTAAAGAGCTAGAAATCTTCCTTCCGATGTAATTGAGGTATTTCCTGTACCCTTACTTACTATGTAAACCCTTTCTTTCATGTTAGCACTTCTATGCTGAATTCTTTTTAGATGTTAAGAAAACAGTAAGATTTTTCATTGTAGTCTCTTGAACATGGAACCATTTAAAAAACAAATACCACAAATCATGTTTATTTTTGAGAACAATGCATTACTGCAAGAGTCCAGAATAACTGATCCAGTAGTTCAAAGCAGTGTATTTTCAAACTGGCACCTTAGTTCTGTTTTTTAAGCACTATGAATCATCTGTCTCCATGAAAATAGACTTGCCAATAAGAGATACTCCATTAAGGCTAACTTGAACAAACTTTATTTATACTTGGCAGTATGGTGAGCAGACAGTGTCTGGACCATTATATTTTATTCTTTTTGCAATGGGAAAAAAAAATAAATCCCAAACCATCAAGCCCAATAGTGTGGTAGCTTGGAGCACTTAGAAGGGAGATAGTTTTGCCTTCTCAAAGCTTGGGGAATAAAGTCAGGTTTTCTTACTACTTTAAAAGATGCCAGTAGTTAGTTTGGAATAAAGTGCTGTTCCTTTTTTTAGCTTTTCAAGATGAATGGCTTCAGTTTGGTATTTTAGAAAAGTAATAAATCCAATAAAAGTAATACTTTTTTTGTTGAGCTGAAGACTTTGAAATTTACTTCTCAAAACTATGAAATAATCTAAGTGCTATATTTGTTTACCACTGAAGTTGATGTGGATCTTGTATGCTCACTTGGCTAGGATTTTTTTTCCCGCCATTTATAGGATGTGGAAGCATGAGGACTAAACCAACAATTCAAAAATACCCTCCATCCACATTAATCCAAAGTACAATTTCTCTGCAGTTGTCTACTTGTAATCTCTTTTCAATGTTGGATTAATTATATTGTCATTTTTTTTTCCTGTGCAATTGGTACATGTTTAGCCACTTATAAATTAGATGTACAACTTGAGCAGGAAGCAGTAGATCTGAGAAAAACAAGCAGCTGTTTCCTGGAGTCCTAGTTTAGCATTTCAGATTTAGTGATTTGTTGAATTATTGTAAATGGTGATTAAAAAACTGCTCAAGTTCTAGAGGTAACTGAGAAAGATTGTTGGGCATAGTGCTAGTTATCATAACCTCTCATTGCTTAAACTATATTTAAGGGTGTTTCTTTTTCAGTCACTTTTTTACTGAAGCAAGCATCTTGATCCTATGCCCTACGAGGTTAAGGTTTTAGACAGAGTACTCTAGACAGAAGGATGTTTAAATGGTTCAAATACAACTTGAGCTATAAAAAAGGGTACCAGAAATCTGTGTGAGTAAGGATGGGAGAAAGGAGGAGGATTTACCTTATGCATATAATACTCAACACTTCTGTTTGGTAGGCCAAGAACATGACACACACGAGTATTCCCAGGTTATATTGCAGACCTCTTTGAAAATAGAGGGGTATGCTTTTAAATGTTACAGGTTGGATGTCACCTGAGGTGGCATTTCAGCAGCCAAACAGAAAGACGAAAGTACTGATTGCCTGTATCAGCACAGGGAACTCTGGCCTGGCTGGCTGCCTGCTACATTGAGACTCTTTGACAAGACAAATACAATGATATTTTTGTTACTGACATGACACATCTAGAATTAAGCACACATGTCAAAGTGTTCATTCAGTAATAATACAACATAATGGCTATCAATATTTGCTGCTGATATATTTCAAACCTTAAATTAAACTGTGCCTATTAAAGGTCTCTTTTTGGAGGAAAACTGGAAAATTAGGGTTTGTATGTATTTTTGCTAGAAGACTCGTGCTTGCATGTGTCTCAGGGTCTTCAGTTTTCCTTGGAAATGATTTTTGATATCCAAAGTCCAGAGGTGATGTAAAGCATTTTTTTTTTAATTTCACTTCCAGTATTTATTTGTTTGGAAACATGATAAATCCATTATTTTAAAACTTCTTATGGGGCCATGACCATTTAGATTTAGATTTCTGGCTTTTGCACTTATGTTTCTTTTGTTTGTTTGTTTTTGTAAACACTTAGCTTCCAGCTTAACTTAATGACAAACCTTATGTAAATAGTAAGAAATTGGCTTTGGGGTCATGGAAGAAAGATTGAATCTGAAAAAGCATTTATATAAAAATTTAAAATTTCAACAGAGTATGGCATTAACCTCAGTCATTTAGATGCATATAAAAACATTAATGGATCTGCTGCAAAATATGATAATGGTGGCTGCATCCTCACTGTTTGGTTTCTTTAGGGATTCCTACCATAGCATTCCACTGTGTAAATTAAATGAATGTTGATATAATGATCAACTGCTTATTTATTTTGTATTGTTAAGGCATGCAGCTTATAAAAAGATGCAGAAGCTGATGACTATATACGTTGAACAATTAATTTTACAGCTATTGCTTAGGAACTGGTCCATGTGAAACATTTAGAATTTTTGCCAAATCTGTGATGTATATAGTTGTACAGTCTTTCCTTAACATACTTTTTAAAGTTGTGTTCTACTTTTCATTAATCAAAAGTTGATATTAGTTCCTAGAGCTTTCAATGGCAAAAATAAACAAGTTGAATTCTAAAGATGGGTGTAGCATGTTTCTTTTTAACAGCTTCTCAGCTTCTACATTTTAACATTTTAAGATTACCAACAGTTTGTAGCTTCCTTTTCCAGGTTTTTGGGAATAGCAGGAAACTCTCTACCAGGTGTGTGTGTCTTTATTTGGGGCTTATGTTATTTGGTGGCTTGGTTGGTTGGTTGTTTTTGTGGTTTTTTTTGGTTTCCAAGACAGCAAATCAGCTGAAAGACTCCAGCTGTGCATGGTGAGCTGGAGGTGGTGATACACACTTGCTCTCTGACTAGGTGGAGCTGCTGTGGTACAGTCTGTCCAACTACTGCTGTCACTGGAAAGGAGCTAGGAATCAAGGAAAACATACAGAGTGACCAGTGCAGTGCATTAGGGCTCCTCTTTGTACCAGGTTGCTTACTAGTTATGGTTTGGAGAAGTTAGATTGTTGGTGAACTGTGGCTAAGACAGAGAAAATGAGTTAATTTATGTAGACTTCTTATTACAGGTAAGGAATGTGATTTAATAAGCAACATACCCATCCAGTGTTGTGCTAGAAGCCTTTAATTCCTCAGCACAGGGCTCCCACCTACTGCTGACATCAAAGAGCAGCTGCCATCATAAGGGCAGAATTAGGCCCAACATAATATAAAGATAAAAGTAAGTAAAGGAGACAATGACACTGCACTGGCTGGGTTATTTGCCTCTGTTTTAAGAAAAAAAATCAGCAATGATGACTTGACAGTAACTGAAGTCAGGGCACTCTGTTATGTGGCTAGAAATGCATAATTATGAAGTGTGGGGGCATCTGGGTCTTTTAAAAACAGAACTTCAAAAAAGATGTCTCTGGCTAATCTTAGTAGAAACACCAGTTTCCAATATAGCGTTTGTTTTTTAAATGCCTGATGCTGCCATACTGCAATTCCTCAACTAACAATAAAGATGCTTCTGCAACAGGAAAGTTGCTAAAACGTAAAACACAGTTTATAAATGTTTACAAAAGTCACACGATTTTATTTAACTTTGGTAAAGTAATAAAAGGGTACATATGAGTCACAATCCTGACATTCTCATAAGAAATGATGAATACAGTGCAGATGCTGCATTTACATTAAACGCTTCGTTTTGCTTGAGCAGAAGGAAACAGGGAATTCACCAGAAAATTCCACTAGCAATTTTTTAAATGTGAAAATAGACTTGTCCTTTTATAGTGAATTTAAAGCAGCAATGTAATTTTTGCTTAAATATTCCTTTAAAAAAATGAGAATTTAGATAATTTAGTAGTTGTCAACTCAAAACCAATTACACAATCATTTCCTAATTCCCTGCCACTTAAGTGATGTTCCCTCATGAGTTTCTTAGTCCTGTCCTGTAGTGTCCCCAAGTCCTTCTAGCCCTATGTAGTTGACAGGCACAAATGGTAGAAAGTATTTGTCAGAATGGGACAGGACTGTTTGCTTTTTTTTCAAAGATGCAGCAAGAAAATGCTTTCAGGTATTAATGTGCCCTTCTGATTCTAGTTTTGTGGGGAGTTTTATCAGGAGAAGTACTGTCTATTTCGAAATTGCCCATAATCTGCTTATCAAGATTTAATTCAGGAAAATGTAATATAAAATGGATGATGCCCTAGTATATAAGTTTTTTTCCAGTATGCAAATTCATAGGAGCTGCACTTCAACCATCTAGTAAAAACAAAATGTCACCAGGATATGTTCTGCATACACTACTGCTTTAAATCCCACGAGTTGTATTCCTTTCTCCAGCCATTTTTTTTTTCTTTGTTACTGGAGAAAGGTTACACTTCCTTCTGGATAAACAATGCCATCCTTTAGCTTTTTAATATATTGATTAGTGTTTGACAGTGGAAATGATAAGGTTAACATGTAGCCTAGCCTAAAGGCTTTACAAATGCATAGGATTAAAACCAGCATTATAAAGTGTGGGTGTACTTTGAAAAGTGAGATCAGAGACTTGAGTGTTTGTTTTCCATGTTGGGAGTATTCTGGGTTTTTTTTAGATTAGAAGCAGGGAGGTGCCACTGTTTAAAATCCAACTGGAGGTTGTTTTTTTCCCCCCTCCCCTAGCATGCATTCCATTTTTTTATTCTGAAAGCCAGATTTAGCTTTAAGGTACACCTTTTTGTCTATATCAGTTGCAAGAAAATATAGAGAATTAAGGGTTAGGGTCCTTGATGCCAAGGAAATGAAATCTTTAGGAAATAAGGAGTAAAATGTCAATACCTTATTTTGATCCCTGAAGCAAGTAGATGAGAACGCTCAGGTTGAGCAGCTCAGATCTGAAAGCTGTCATCTGAAGTCACTTCCTGGAGTAGAACCACACTTTACAGGCCAGTGTGTCACACAACAAAGCTGACCTTCTTTTGTTATGCAGGATGCATGCAAAATCTGTTGGAATCTAGATCAATCACCACAGTCATCAGCTGAAGATTAAATGAAAGTCACCACAATAATTGCAAATTCCTATCAGTTTCATCCTATATTACAGAGTGTTGAATTTTATCCATGTGAGACTTACAGCTTGGAGAAATAGTAGTGGGTATTCCTTGTGTGTAGCCCATAATGCAGCTACTAAAACAGTGCTTGTTCAGGGTGCTGATTCTGTCAATTAAAAAAGTTTAAAGTACAAGCTTAAAAAAAAATCCCCAACTGAAGGGAAAAAAATAATAAATGATGTTTCTACTGCACTGTTCCAGTGATTTGTGGACAGCTACTGATGCTGATTTAGGCAGTGCAACCCCCCCAAACTGTTTTATTTCAGCATTACTTATGCGCAATTCAGACAGAGACAACTACATTTCACCTCTATCTTAACAGCATCCTGAAATAAAAACAGCTTGCCTTTCAAAGCTTTTCCCCTCAAAAAAGCAATATTCCAATTGTTTTGCTAGACATAGATTAAAATATCCTCTGACATTATCTCTTTTCATTAGCATTAAAGTTTGAGACACTGTTGCAGTTTGCCCCAAGATTGTTCCAGTGTGTAGGGTGTAACCAACAAGTGATGTGAGCTAGGTGTGGGGCCCAAAAAATCTCTGCAACTGGAGCCTCAAGGCTAAACAAAACAAGCATCAAGTTGAGCTGTCTGCAAGCCCCCTCACCTTAAAACATATTGATACTCTGGCAACTCTCTATCTTGGCTACCCTTCCTTCAGCTTGGCACACGATGGAGTAAGGCAGACCAGAACTTATCTGTGCTGTATCGCTTTATTAAAAACCCAGGACTACATGAACCTTGTGGTAAAACAAGGAGGCTGGAATTTAGGTTGCCCGCTACTCACTGACACTGCAAAACATCAGCAGCATGTTCCCTTCCTCATACCCTGCTGCTCAAGCTCTGAAATAAGTCTCACAAGAAAGAACAGTCCACCCTAACATCTGTATTTGCAATTACTGTCTGTATCTATCCTCCTGCTCCCTCCCACAGTAAAATATAAATACAAAATGTTCATGATTGTTTCAATGGCAAATACATTTTTCTTCTTTTCCACATTCTTCATGGTGTATAAGGTGGTGGCTTCTCAAAAGGTGGAAAATACGGTGGTGAGTAACGTGGTGGTGCATTCGAGGACCACATATAGCTGGGAGATGGTGACACTGACTGGGGGTCATCGGAGAGGCCAGAAGGAGTGGAGGCTGGAAACACGCTGGAATGCTGCAGGGAGACAGCAAGAAGGCAGTAATGTAACCACTTCTTAGATTGGCAAAGTGAAACTTAATTACCAAGCAGTGCAAAATTAACATTTCAAGGCTCCCTTCTGCAAAACCTACGTACATGCAACTAAGTAGCCGAACTTGTTGCTCTCAAGGTAAGCACAGAATGCAAGTAGTAGTTTTGCATAATGACACTGCTTAGACCTAAAACTGAAGAAGGCATTTAAAGAAAAAATAATTAAAAATTCTTTCTGCTGCACTTCACAGAGGCTGGACAACCGAAACTTCTGAGTCTCTCTCACACCTTGGGTTGCACACATCAGCCAGCAGCAACAATAAAAAGGCAAAACCTGTGATGGTTTATTAAGCAGATACATGGAACATGAAAGCCCAGCCAGCTCAGGGAGGACCTCACAGAAAGTCATGCAAACCGTTCCTGTTTCAAACACCACATCAGTTCCTCCATCGTGCCCATGTCACCTCAAGCCCCCAGACTGCAAAGAAGGGAAGGGCAGGACACAGCTCTCTGCTGGCACCGTGGCTGCTGCAGACAAACCCCCAGTTACAGTGTCCAGAACCAGCCGAACGGCTGAGGACTCCACAGCAGAGCAGGGTTTGGCATGTGCTGAGGTTGGCATTTTTGTAACTGTAAAACGTTACACGACACCAGTGACTCTCCCAGGTTGCGTTAACACAACAAATGAGTCACAAGTCTGTACAAATAAACCCTAGAAATTCTCATTTAAGTGTTCAAGTATTTTGAGGAAGCCCTGATAATACTGTTGACCAGTGGCACTAGCAATAAAACCAGAAAGGCTGAGATTTATGTTACCTCTAATGCATGGTTCTGATGATGGTGGTAGCTATCACAGAGCACATTGCTTAGCTGATGTCCAAGAACTTAAACTCTTTTTAATTAAAAAAAAAGTTTCCAGGCCTGAAAGTTGCAATGAAAATGTATTACTTGTTGAGTTAACATCCACCTGACAGAAAAGCCGAGGAGGAAACGTCCTCATCTGCTGTGAAAAAAAAAAGTGAAAGCTGATGCTGACAGCAAGGTTCACAAGAAATCCCTGCTTACAACAGCACAGCTCCATAACTCAGAGGAGGAAGGGATGCATTATAGCAGAGGTGATGTTTGCAGGGACTGTAGACCAGCTGAAGTGTGTGGAAAAAAAAGCACAATGGAATAGCTTTTCAGTCAGTATGTGCCTTCAGGAGGTCAAATAACTTGTTTCCAAAAGCTCATCTGTTTTTCTCAGACATAGCAGCTGGCCTAATAAAAACCAGCACCTCAACACCTCCTCACTTTGCCTCTACCAGAGCACTGCAGGTGCCAGAGGCAATGCCTATTTTTAATGTGGCCTCTACTTGTGAAGGACAAGGGAGGCATGCAGCAGATTCTGTTGCCTTTTCTTCAAGGACAGCTTTCAGGAAAACAATGCCTAGTAGGAAAGCTTTGGTATTATCTGCAGGAACAGGAAAATTAAACTGTGTGAATGATGGAAGGACAGGCCCCCAGAGTCCTGCAGACCAGCTGGATTTAACCTTGCCACTAAACCAGAAAATATCCTATTCAGTTCCCTACCTGAAAGTCATAGGCAGAGTAGGGAGGCAGGTGAGGAGTGCTGTGGTAGTAGGTGTTGTAAGATGTCACTTGTGGCCTTGAGTAGTAGGACACAGAAGGATGTGCATTTTCAACTGTACAGTTCAGCGTTGGGAGGGAAGGAGTCTGTCAGAACAACAAGAAGAGACTCTCAGGCTGCTAACCAAGTCACAGAAAGCTGAGAGGTGAATGATTTAAAGGAGCACTGTGTATCTTTGGAGCTCAATTCTTAGGCAGCAGGTAAGTCCCAAGGTGATTTCATTCCTCAGCCACCTATTGTTTCCTCTCAGATTGCACAGAACAAGCTGGCAATAGCCCAGTGCACACCTCTGCTCAAACAATACAACTGTTTGGATTGCATCTTCACCAGGAGGAGAAAGAGTCCATTAATTAGTTGATTACTCTTACTCAGTGAATTTTGAGATCAGCATATTTCAACTCTTCCTGTACTACTATTCACAAACCCTTCTATACATCTTTTTTTTGCAGAAGTTTACAGGCTGTCTGGTGTGGATCAAGTCTCAAAAGCCCACAAGGCACAGCTAGGAACCTGTGTCCTGTACTGTTTGGGAAGACCTTGGTGAGTCTGAAAGGAGTGTAGGAAAGCTCAGAGTTCTGAAAAAAGGCACTCTTAGCACAGGGCCCAAGACCTGTTTGTAATAAAAATGTATTGCCAGGACAAGAAATGCTCTTTTCTAGATGTCTCAGTTTGCATTATTCTAAAAGACTGAAACCCCCGCCCAAATTTATCTGCTGAATCTTCAGTTCTCCCGAGTGATTTGTTCTCTGCAGAACAAAACTCTGCAAAAGGTAACAGGCAGCCCAGTTAAGTGAGGGTATTTTAAAACTCATGTTACCAGAACAGCATTTTTTTCACTATCTGAAGTTTGCAGTCTTTCATCTGATTTTGGTCCCTGGTTCACCCTCTCAGATCCTACACCATAAAGAAGCTAAATGGAGAGTTTCAGACTAACATGGCTGCTTAAACAGTCTGTATAGCTCAGAACACTATTACTGCTATCAAATCAACAATTCATGAGAATCCACCACATATTACCTAGTGGAAGGCCAAAGCTATTTAAAAAAAATTCCATTTTTAAGAAAGAGCTTGTTCTTTTTCATCCTAGTGTTGCCAACACCTCTGAGAAGGTTCCTTCTGAAAATACCATCTGCCAGTTCTTTTCACCTTTCTTAACTGTGTTCAGGTGGTGACACCAGATCAGAAAAGTCAATCTTTTCCCCTTTCTCTTTACAGTTATTTCATGCCCTTCTTTCCAGCCTGATTTCAATGCTGCATAGATAATTTGAATCAAAATACCCATAGCTGTTTTCATTATTATTTTTAAAAAGCACTTTGCCTGATTTGTTTCATTTAATGCAGAGAGGAATTGGTGCCACCTTACCATGTCTTTGAAGCCTCCAAGTATTGCTGCTGTAATGATCCCAAGGAATAGCCCCACTATGTTCAGAATCGTTGCCGACCAAAGCAGGTGGTAAAGGTGGATGATGTCCTGGCAGCTGCTGACATCAATGTATTCATAGTAGCCTCCAGAAATCTCTACTCTGCTAGATTAGGAAAAAGACCCATAATGATAAAAAAATGCACCAGACATCAGAAAACCTAAGCACTCTGGTGGACAGTAGAATGTATTCTGTGATTTAATGGTAGTCCGGACCTAACTACCAAGGGAGTGGGGATAAGCCTGCTAGATCCCATGCTTGTGGCATCTGAGATCTTTCTGCATGACAACAACAGAAGATGGCTTGATCTGTTGTGAAACAAACAAGTCCTGCAAGGCCTGCCAATACCCACGTGACCTTGAGTCTGAATCTGCCTCTTGTATAATCTGAAATCTTCACAGAAATCCTGGAGGCTTCTGGAGGAAAAACCAGTCTTGTAATTACCCACAGAAATCAGTCTGTGCCCTGAGGAGTGGCATTGCCCCTCAAGGCAGCCCTGGCTGCTCCTCAGCCACAGAAGAAGCTGGCTGGGACAGGCACAGCACAGCTCAGCTGGCCTGTGGGTACCTGGGGCTTGGCCACAACACACATCCAACTGCCTGCCCTCTGCAGCTTTACAAGGGCATGGGCTGGCAGAACCCCTGGCAGAGAGAGTCCTTCTGCTCGCATTTTTAAGCTCTTCCACGTGCAGAAGAAAAACACAAAACTGACAAATCCACTTAGGTCACTATTTTGGAAAGGGAAGAGTGGCTCCTGCAACATGCACTGGAGTCTGCAGGTGTGATTCTCCAGTAATGACCTCTCTGACTGCTGCCTGGGGAAACAGGCTGGCCTTCAGTGCAGCTGACCTGTAGTGGGCTACAGCAAATCCCTCTTAAGGTAACATATTTACTGGGGACAGACAATACTAAGGGCTTATGAATGACTTACCTCCTAGCTTACATATGGGCTTAGGCTCAAACTGGACAAAGGCTTTGAGGAAATGAGGAAGAACAGGCTCATATTTAAGACCAAGAAGCAAGAGATCCAAGCTCAGCTCCCAGCACATTCTGCAAGGCCTGCAGGGACCTGCTCCCTTTCACAAGGGCCACCCTCCTTGCCTCATTACTCAATTCTAGTTTCTTCTTTCCCTTGCTGTAGCAGGCTGCTGCAGAAGACATTGCACCAAGGAGATGGGGGTTTCCAGAGCACAACCACAGGCTGAAAAACCTGCACAACCTCTGTATAACCTGAGCACACGCCATGACTGCCTTGAACAATACAACCTGTATGTGCTGTTTGCAAGAGCTCATTCCTATGGAGATGCAGGAGTGGGTAAAGCTCTGCAAGCCTCGATGTAACACCAAGAACATTCAGCATTGCACAGGTAAGTACACCATGTGCTTGTCAACAGAAAGGGGCTTGTCCAATGCTGCCACAGCTGGGGTTTCCAGCATCAGGAGGGATGCAAGGTGGCTGTCACTTTGTCTGTAATTTCTATCCTTCACATAACACATGGGCTAGCCAGTCTTGAGTACCCACGTCTTTCTCACCGAGATCCAAAAAACCCAGCACCTCTTCAGTGCTGAACACTTGTGTGGTATGATGCAAGACTGAGATAGTAACAACTGGTATCTTTTATCAGAGAGGGGAAAAGGGTCAGAGGCAGGACCCTGAGGCAACCTGACTGGGAAGTAAAAAAACCCACAACAACAACAAAACAAACAGAAAAGTTACAAGTTCTTCTGCTCCAATCACTTCTCTATGTACTGCTCTCTTCAACATGTAAAAAGAGATTGTGTTCTGTCAACTGTCAAAGGAAATTGTGAGCTTCACCCCTCTGCAGTGGCTTCCACAGAAACAAAGTCCTACAGAGACCAGGGATTACCTTTCCCAGCATGTGGAACCACCTTCTCCCAACCGCAGCTTTTGATGTTCTTCCACCACAGTCTATGATTAAAGTGGGGGCCAGCCCAACTAAGTACTGTGAGAAATGCTAAGCCTGGAACAGCCCTGGGCAAGAGCCAGGACTAAAAAAATCAATTTATTAATTGCTTGCTGACACAGATAAGATACTCAAGTGATATGAGAAATGCATACTGTAAATTAAATTGGCTCAGGCACAGTAGCCAGATCTAATAGTGTGATGACTGTGCAGTGGGGCTTGATTGGTAACCACCCATCTGACTCATCTTTGCACAGTGCTGGTACCCCATCCAACCTCTTGTGACCATGAAAAATTCACTAGGCAGAGAAGACACTGATTTATAAACATGCAGGTGGCACCAGCCTGTGAACTCTCTTCCCTGGGAAATAAAAGTGACAAGGTGGGAAAGAAAAGCGACAAGGTGGGAAAGAAAAGCATCCCAAATTTTATATCTTCAAACTTCTAAAACAAAATAAAGCCCAGCAAACAAGCAATGCCAACAGAGAGGGAAGGTGTTAGGACAAGGGATACTCAATAGGGGAAAAACTGGGGAAGGCATCAAGCATACAAGTAATGGAAATTCCCACCCTCCTCACTTTTCCAGCTGGGCTGGCCCAGAGCGGCTCATCTCCAGCTGAGATGGCTGTAATGTATGTCATACACTCCTTTACTTAGTCATCTTTTGCCTGAGAGTCCTTGTGGCCAGCAACCACAGCTTAGGATCCCTTCCCACCAGCTGTTGTTAACAAATACTCTGCTCCTGCCCTATCCTGACCCTTCAGGCACCTGCAAACCAGCATGTCCACTGCTTGCTCTTCCCACGGCCAGGAATGGTATTTTTAGCTTACTCACTTTCCACAGTTGTACAGGTCACAGCAGAAGCAGGTGTTGGTTTTTATTTTTGGCGTGCAGGGTGCACGGCGCTGGGGGTGGCAGATTGCCTGTGGGAATATAGAAAAAATTCATAAAATGTGTAAGGAAATAATCACCAAACACAGTTTTTGCTGCTATTTGGCCTGCTCTACGTGTAGCTTCTGCACGGATCTCCAGATTAGTCCCAGGCAAATTTTCCTTTCCTTATCTTGCAGTAAAGTTCAGTTACACCAGAACAAGTACAGAGGACTAGAAAAGACCAGCATTTCCTTTCACCACGGGGAAGTCAGAGATAAGCACATGCCTGCCTAAGGAACAGGCTGTGCAGCTCTTACCCACAGCCAAGATCTTGCTGAACTAACACACTCCTCACCTCAACTCAGAGCAGTGTCAACAGGATGATACAGACTGAGAACAAGATTCCCATATTAGTGAATAACTGACTAGAGAGGTTAATTTTCTGCCTGTGGGTAGGAACACACATGCTCATATGGATGGTCCTTGAGCTGAAAAGAGAATGGAACCCACTGATGCCACTGGGTAGTACCATGCACCTCAAGCAGGCATTTTAAGTTGGAATACAGTGGTTATTCAAAACCCCCTGGGAACTTGTGAGGAAATCTCAGAGATTCTCAGTACATAGCAACAGCAAAAGATGTCCACACACTATCAGTATGTGGCAGGAACACCCCCAGTGGGCTTCTCTTTAGAGAAGACAATAGATGGCAGAGGTGCAGAGGCTGGTAGGCATTGCTCATATTCACAGAAATCACCACTGTCTGAACTCTTAACCCACTACTGTAATGAATGTGCAGCTGAAGATCTAGAGAAGATGGTGTATTTTCTTATCCCCCATCCCCTCCTCTCCATCTGCTCCTTCGCTAACATGGCAATATCAAGCCTGGAGGAATTCACTCCAAGTCCTCCTGGCACACTGCTCCCACTTCAGGCCCAGCCTCCCAGCCCTCCTTGCTTCACAGACCTCCGGGATGCTGGAGCAGCAGCAGGTTCCTCCAACCTGCACCATGAAGACAGTACATCTGACCCCGAGCTCACCTCTGGTGGGGTTGCACTCTTGGAGTAGTACTGACATCGCCCCGCGTACAGTGGCCTCAAGTCCTGCCGACAAAAAAAGACCAGGCTTAGCACTGCAGCAAAACCAAAATCAGCTAACTAGCCTGAGGAAAGGGGCCAGGCTTTGAAGAGACCCTGCTCTTGCTCTTCTGCAACATTCCCACCCGCCCCAACCCCAGGTGACGTATAACTCTGGTCCTTGGAGGCAAGTACTTGTTGAAGCTGGCACGGAAGGAGCAGGCTCTTCAGCTGGGCCCATTTGGGTGAGGGAGGTCACCCCAAATTAAATGAGTCATTCCTCATCTCCCCATACATATCCCAGGGCTGCCCAACATGCTTCAGAGAGTTCTTCCTG